GACTCATAACATAAATAGTGAAAAGTGGGTGTTACTTCTGTGTGCACCTCTGCCTACCCCTTCGGGGATAAAAGGCGTGATGTTATGTTATGATATGTTATAAATAAATGAATAATACTAAAAAACATTATAAAGTGACCCAAAACATGTTTTTAAATTCTTTCACACCTGGAACAAATTTGCTTTAAAAAATAGGGGACGAATGATTAAAATGATCAACATCACCCATATTCTAGAGAAGTGACGAATGTGTCACCAGTCTTTTAAGAGGAGTAGATTCTTTTCTTGAATAATATTATTGAATTCACTATAACATCTGAATTTAATTACCTTAAGAAATCTAAATCATGCTCCACACAAGCTAGATTCTTCTTAGCAGTAGCCATATTTGATGATAGTAGCTTCTCTGCATCGTCTAATGTATATTCTAACATTACATTTGCACCAAGCCACAAATATACTTTTTCAGTGGGTGGTACATTTGCCTGAAAGTTTATAAACATAACAATGAAAATACATAAATAATGAAATTATTAAACTGTCAAACACAGAGCAGTCACCGGTGACCGCAACCTATTGTTCTTTAATTGTGTCTATAATGACGGTACTCAACGAGTTACACATTTTAAGGTCTTGATCTTAATTATTACCTTAACAAATACTTGATCACTAAGCAGAAACTCTGTTTGCATTTCCTCTTTTTGGGTTTTAAGCTTTTCAATCATTTCCAAAGAACGAGCCAAATCTGGTATCTGTTGCCTGAGTCGCCTTCGTTTTGTTGCCAGTGACATTTCCATGTGTTTATATTTTGAATGTTGCTCATCAAGGCTCTTCAAAACTACGTCCACACCACCAGCATTTTCAGGCTTGCTCATAAACTCATCTACATTATCCTGTAAGAGTAAACAATGCAGTTAAATAAAGTACTTAAATGATAAACAAATAATTAGTTTACAAGTATAGACCCTCTATGTATATGACAGAAAGTAAACAAAATGTGTGGTAAAGGGATTCTAGTATGATTGAATTTTTTCATAGGTTAGTAATTTTATATTGGTTACAAAAAAGGGAAAAGTATGTAAATCACGTTGTACAATTAAAGTAGAGTTATTTATAATAACTTACAACAAATACTGCCTCTGGTATTCCAGAATATGTCTTAGGAGTATCCGATTTATCACCTTCCATTTTTCAAGTTTTTCTCAGCGAGTTTTAATTAGGAACTGAAAATATTAATAAAACATTATTTTTTATCATAGTCTACAGATATTGAACAGTAGTATGTTAAGTCTGACTTACAATAACTCTTAAATTCCTTTAATTATTTCACATAAGGCACCGCACAACAACGAAAATTCTGAAAATCTCAAATCGGCATTCTGCAAAACTCGAGTAGTTCTCCATAGATTATAGAGAGAGAGAAGTAAGAAACTTCATGGAACCTTCATAGACAATGACCGAATGACCAAATAACAATAGGCAAAAAAACTCAACAAGTCTGTGGTTTCATTTCATAATGACGTGAAACGTGTAAGAATTATTTGACAGCTGACGTTACGTGTCACCCGTGTCAGACACGTTCATTTCCATTATTTTTATTGTAGGGCGAAAATTGAGTTTATTCATTTATCTTTCAAGTGAAAGAAATAAATCAAGTGATTTATAAAATTAAAACTCTAACAATACTTATTTACCTTAAACATGGCACCGTCAACTGATTGGGATGAGATAAAAAGATTAGCAGCAGACTTTCAAAAAGCTCAACTTACTTCTACGTCTTTAAGGTAAAGAAAATATTAAATCCCAATAAAATGCTCTTAATAACACATATTGAGTAACGTTTTAAACCTAATAACTTGTGATTTGGAAATTCTGAAAATGGGTATACAATTGATTAATTTCTTGCTGGACTGTAAGTACAATATGCTCAGTTGACTGAACTAGAATCTCATTATCACTATATAGATAACTTTTTTATAGATTTTTATGTTTAGTATTCCATAATTTAACTATATTTTTTGTGTTTTTAGATTATCTGAAAGAAACTGCATTGAAATTGTCACAAAATTAATTGAATTAAAGTTGATTGACGTTATTTTTACTACTGATGGAAAAGAATATTTAACTCCTCAGCAACTTATTAAAGAAATTAAGGATGAACTGTATGTTCATGGTGGGCGGATCAATACAGTTGATGTTGCCAAAGAGCTAAATGTAGATCTCAGTCAGATCAACAACTATGTCTCAGAAATCATTAAAGGAAAGGAGGTGCAGCTGGTTTCTGGTTATCTAATAGCTCATTATTACTTAGAAAAGGTTGCAAGAGAAGTGAATGAAAAACTACAGCTACAAGGTCAAATATCAGTTGGAGAATTATCTTTACAGTATGACCTCCCAGCAGAATTACTGCAGCATAATGTTTTGGAGAAATATCTTGGCAAAATAATTTTTGGTAAGCAAGACCCATCTGAGCCAAGGACTTTCTACACAGAAGAATACATAACAAGGACCAAGGCTAAAATTCGTGGTGCTTTGATGGGTTTGCTGAAGCCAACACCTGTTGCTGTAATTGTAAATCACTGCAACTTGACTGATCGCTTGTTCTCTTCTTTGTATGATCAACTTAATGCTCCTGGGGTACTCACAGGTCGCCAAGCTGGAGCTCTGTATGTGCCATCATGTTACACAAAATCTCAAAATGACTGGGTCATGAGTTTTTACAAACAAAATAATTATTTGGAATATGATGCTCTTTCCCGTCTAGGGATATCTGATCCCAAAGGATATGTGAAGCGTATTCTGACAAATGAAGATTTAACTTTCCTTAGTAGCTGTGTTATTGGTTCACAAATTAAGCAACAGTTAGAAACAGCTTTGGAAGAATGCATAGCATCTAGGAGTTATTTGGATGTTGTTACTTTGTTGCCATCTGTTTTGACAGACACAGACATAGAAAATGTTCTTGATGAACTTCTGAAAAAGTCAAAATCAACAATATTATTTGATAATACAGGTAAATATATGAAATTCTTAATCTTTGTACAAATTAAAACTTTTATATAAATTAAAAACTTTTTGGTTCAGTTTTTAGCTACCACTATATTGAAACTTTGAAGCAAGCTTGCATGCCATTGACACAGCAAAAGGCAGAAAGTGTTGTGAAATCAGGTGTATACCAACAGTTCCATATGGAAAAACAAATCAATAAAGCTGCTGAGTTTGCTCAAACATCACATGTAGACCACAAAGCAGAAAGACGTGAGGAGCGTAGAAGGAAAGCTGCTTCAGGAAAGGGTGGTGGTGGAACTCAAGGAAGGGAGACTAAAACAAAGGCAGTGAAAAAACATGCAAGAGGAAAGCAGAATACTCACGACTCTGACTCTGATGAGGGTCCAAGTGTCACTAAAAAGTCACAAGCACAGTTGGAAATCATTAGTGTTGATGATGTTGAAAATGTCATTAAACAAACTTTAGAGAATGAAGGTTTAGAAGACTTGGTGACTCGCATAGCTGAACACTTACAAGGGTAACATTATATTTATTACTGTTCAATTTAAAATATCTTTTCTAGTTAGAAAAAAATGTCGTAAATCTTTTGTAAATTAAAATATGAATACTAATCAAATTTTCGTTTCCAGGGGACTTAACCAAATTGGTTTAACAATAGCTAAAGAAACTGCGGATAAGTTGCTTCAAGATGCTAGTCAAAACAGAAAACAAACACACACCTCTGCACAGGATAAAATCAACATTTTGGTTAATGATATCAAACTTTATGAAAAAGGTCTTAAATCATTACCTGCAGATCAGCAACCTCAGTTCATCAAATACTTATTAAAATCACTAGGAGGCGATGTACTTGCGGAGTTGTGTAAATATGCGGCAAACCAATGCAATATCTCTGTACAAGGTGAAGTGTTGTCAGTTGAACAGAGAAACAAAATAATCAATGATTTACCTGATGAATTTATGAAGCCATTAGTTTCATTGAATGGGACATTGTCTGAACAAAATATGGAATCGTTCTTTCAAGCAATTGATGTCTGCCTATCTGAGTTTGGTATGATTTTGAAAAAGGTTGATAAGAAAAAAGATAAGTGAGTGTTCACAATATATTGAAGTGTAATTTGGTAATAAATAGTAATAATATCAATAATGTGTAATCTAATTAAATTTTCAGATTGTTAGTTCAAAATCACAGGGAAAAGTTAATTTCTGAACTAGAAACTTGTGAGGATCCAGCTTTAAGTTTGCATATGGCAGTGTTGGCTATTTTTACGATTGTTACACAAAACATGTTGCATGCCTCTGGTCGTCAAGTACCCATTATTATATCATATTTGAAAACTCAGCTTAAGGAAGATGACTATGAGCGACTCCAATTATGGCATGGTAAGTAGTTAGATTTATGGTTAATGGTAAATCAGTTTAGAACTTATGTTGGCGCAGCAAAACATTAATCCTATAGCTATATGAAAAATTCTTTGGGTAGATAATCAATGTCTTCAATTTTGCTTATTTCAGAGTTAGTTTCAAAATATTTGACATCAACCGATGACGAAAAAACTGAAGTCGAAGAGAAACTCCTTCAAGAGCTGCCATTATTGAAAACTATGGTGCAAGAGATTAAAAAATACAAGTGAAAAAAAGCAAGGAGGATTAATAATTTTCATAAAATGGATATATGTAAATAAATAAAGAAAGGGTTTGGAACAGTCCTGAATACATATTTTATTTAGGTGTATATTCTGAAGTGTTTTTATTTAATTCCTGTGTAGCATCATCTTTCATATTAAGTTTTATCGAAATTATAGTAATTTCTTAAAATAAATAATAACTAAAATAATAATAACTATCGTGAGACATACTAAGTTAACTAAAAATCGCGAGTTACGTCAATATACTGAGAAAAGCTCTACTAGTTTCGAACCACAGAGGGGTTCTTCCTCATGAGCAGAGAGCGCGGTCGCAGCGATGTCGCGCAGTCTACTCGAAACTAGTAGAGCTTTTTTCAGAAGAATTTATAAATTATGACTAATAATAATTACAATAACAAAATTCCAAACGCACTGCATGACGCGGGAAATGAACCCACCCCACAAGACGCACAGCAACTGATCATTCAGTCACCATCTGTAGAATGTAGGATAAATAAAGGCCACGAGTCCATATTACTATACTGCATATTGATATGCACTAATGTTATTTTTAAATAAATCTTTATTATTAATAAAACTAATAATTACTATACTTGGCATTTTATGTACTTACCTTCCCATTATTTTGAATAAGTTTGAAGAAAATAGTCATAGACTCTATGGTTGATTGCCAGAGAGAATTGAATGAGTTGAAATGAATGAATGACAGTGAGTGATAGGTACCAACTGTAATTTCGTTTTGACATTGACATTATTGACGTCTGATTCTAGATTTCTCATCGTATTGTTAAACTCCATTGCGATTAATTGCTACGAAATATCTTTCTAAAACAAACATCTACTTCAGCTTCAATCCGCTGTAAGTAAACATGAATATCCAGGCGTAAATGATTGAGTAGATTGAGTGTATAAAACGATATTATTGTTTGCAGACCCAACCTTCGCTGGAGGCTACGCCCTGTTTTGCATTTCCGAGTTTTCCTTTTACGTTCAACATAGGCCTATCAGATACCGCCGTTATGGACATGATGGTTTCAACATTGCAACAGCAGCGGGCTGTAACAGAACAATTAAGACGAGAAGCTGCAATAAAACGCGTTCCCGTCTCAGTGGTTGTATCTGACATTGTCAAATACATCAACGAACATGAACAAGAGGATTGCTTGCTCGTTGGATTTTCCAGTCAGAAAGTCAATCCATTCCGCGAGAAAAGTTCCTGCACTGTTTTGTAAAGTAATCAACATCAATACTATCTGCAAATACATATAATATGGTCGAAGATATGCTTCACATAGGTATTATTTCTTGATTATTAAACTTTATTGTTAAGTGTAACAATGTAGTCAATGTAATCTAAACTTGAATAAATGTATTTATTTATCTCTTTTGAGCAGCAGTGTTTATTCAAAATGTTACTGGTTTCATTAACACTACATTATTGTGTATGTAATTATTACGTTACTGTTTCATTTATACTGTCAAGGGAAAATAAATGATGTGACTCAATATCCATAATATTTTTATTTGTGCACAGTAAACTGAATTCCAATTCCTCTACAAGGTTTTTGACACTACCAATTCCACAACAATGTTTAAAAGTATATATAAATACAGCAATAAAAGTCATTTACTATTGGCACTAAGTCTGCATGACACATAAATTAATTTCCTCCGTTACACACATAGGAGGCCACTAATACAACTGAAGCTATTACAATAACTTGTATATGAGTAACCCGAGTGGAACATCACATACAGTTTAGACAATACTACTTGCAATAGTTACCAACTATACTTATAAAAAAACCTGTATACCAAATAAGATAAAAGTTTTATTTGGTGTTAACACTTGAATGTATTACTTACTAAGACTAAAACACCTTGTAGAATTATGAGTACAACATATTTTGCACAATATTATTACTAATTTAAATTACAATTACCATTTATTAATATTATGGTGGTATAAGTATGGGTAGATCATGGGATTTTCTGATTCTGGCATAGCATGGAGTACCCAATTCAAGTAGGTAAACATTTGTAATAATAATTGCTGAGGTTCAAAGATTAATTACTGGCTATAGTAGGCTACAAATTAATTATTCACATATTTTTAGCTAATTACATAGTCAGACAGTACTTGAAATATTATATTAGATGATAAACCTTTTATTTAACAGGCATTATTTGCATTTTACAACAGACTATTATGTGCATTATAAGGTAGGTACCTACTTTTGCCAGCTATAATAAGTTTAATGGGTGCACTACTTTATAAATATATTATTACGTATAACACCTAGCACAGCAATCCAGTATGCTAACATAAACATTCATCTCATGTACTGTAAACAAATAAAATATCCCAAAACATACAACAAGGATACACATGAATTAATAGGACTAAAGAAATATAATAAATAATCAACACATAATTTACATATTATACAACACCAAAGTCCTGCTCCCCACTCCTCCAAAGACCATACAAACATTTACAATACAATTATGCAAGAAGCATGGTGGAGTTATTTCTGTTACAATCTAACAAAACTTTCACAATTCCATATAAGTAACTAATGTCAATGTTTTATCACTACACCTGGACCAATACCTCAATACATTTTGAAACAAATTAGCCAGTTTTACATTAATGTCATGGCAGTGGAATTAAACTTAGGAAAACTTATTTAGTATCTTGTAAAATGTTTGAGCAAATTTGGAATTAAATGAATAAACCTTATACTAGGGGTAAAACTATATAAAAACATAAATTTACCAACTATCAGTCTTTTAAATTGATGTTGATTATCAACCTTGTGGCAATTTGTCTCTCAAAAGTTTACAAAATATGAAAGGTAATGTAAAGACAACGAATAGAAGACTGTAAATGCCTAGCACTAGCATATCTATTGTCAGATCATTTATTAAAGTTTGTAAACAGGTAACATCTAAAATATTAGTACTAGACTGATATTACTTTCTATGGCATAATTCGTATTGGCAATGCCTTGCTCAGATCAGTCTAAATAATAAAACAAAAATATGATATAGTATAAATAGATAATTCTAATAGTTGACTGTTATGTAAATTGCTACATTACTTTTTAGACTAATTATATACATACACACCTAAATAGTTACTTACAATGCTTCTTAAGAATGTTATTATATCTTGATTTCAGCTCATATTCATAAGATTAGCGTTGTATTATTACTAATGTCTACCACATTTTACCATGTACCAGCTTATACATACATTACCCAATGTTATAAGTAATAATAATGGAGGACATTGCAATATAATTATAAAATAGTACTGTTATTAAATACTATTCAAACAAATATGTTACATTTATATGTCTGACAGTAATTTACTTTCACAGCTTTGGCTCCACTAGCACATACATTTATTCCTTACAAATAAAATTTAAACAACTAAGTAAATAATGTTTTATAAAAAGGCCTCAATGTTTAGTATATCATGAATGATTAATATGCTAAAAAAGTTACAAATACTTTTTGTAAATTAATGAATCAAACAATTTTTGCTCATAAGCTTGATGTAGTAGATATTTATGCAATTTTGTAAACTTTTGAGGTGAACCATCCCTTAAAAATCAATTGAGGATTTATTATGTTACTCATAACTTGATTCAGGTCATAATTTGCACTGAAAACTTGGTTAAGCTATGAAAATAAAATATGCATACTCATTATTTTAATTTAATTTAGTTTTTCATTTAATGGCAGGTGGTTAAATAGATAAATTTATAAAAGTGTTACTGAAATTATGAGTGTAAACTTTTTATGTATTGATTGTCATTTTAGTTCTGTTGTCTGAATCAAGTCATGACAAATGAAATAATGGTGGGTTACCATAGCAGATTAGATATTGCTCTACACTCTCTCTTGCTTTGGTGGTGACATATCCTCATTACCATTGGCAACACTCTGATGATACAGTTTCAACAATTCCATGGCATCTTGAGCTTGGCGTTTCTCCAGTAATATTCTGTAAAATACAAAGAAATGAGTTAAATACATGTGATTTTTTGTATGTAATGAATAATAATATTTAATTAACATAACCCATAATACAAAGATTTTGTTGTCCATTGCATACTTCGTGAAATTAATGAAGTGTAATGGCTATTATTGGCGATATTGGATAACCGATTTCAGCCAGCCACAATATTGAAAATAATTTTAAGTATTCACAGTAACTATTTATCAGAAAACATCAGTTTTTAAGAAAAGCATTTTAAAATCTTACACAAATTTTGTTGTACTCAACTCAATAAAGTTGAGTTAAATTAATAATATAATGAAATTAGTCTTACCTTCCAGATGCTTCTTTGATGTGCTCCAAAATTATTCTATTGTCTCTATCAGTCACAATATCTGCTAGACTGTCTGGATCCATGTCTGACAACAATTCCAAGTCCTGACCTCCAAGCAGTGAGATATGGCACAAGTTGTGCTGTAGCCTTCCAACCAAGTTAGCAACTTGTCCTTTGTCTCCTAATGCGATGTCATCCGTTTGATCAAGAGACACTTGGCACTTTGGCATATTTGGAGACCATTTTTCATTACCATGTAAAATCATAAGAGAAGTATCAGGTTCTAAAGTAGAAAAATATTCTTCGTCGTCCACTTCAGTGCCATCAGATTCCAAAACCACTGTTAAATTCTCCGAAGGCATCCCTAATTTTTCTGGTACTTTTGCAAGAAGATCCTCAAGGGATAATGCCACAATTCCTTTCTTTTTTTCTCGATTTACATCACAGATTTTATACGGCTTGTTAATATCGTGCTCCATTTGTTTTGTTTTGTTATTAATTAATTTATCAGTAATTTGAGATTGAGTCACACGATACAAGTTCTATTGTTTTTTGTTCAATATTCAGGCACAGACTCACTAGGTAGGGAGTAGGAGGTACTCTCTAAAAATTGACGAGTCTCAGCTTCGCTATTCGCGATCGCGTAGTGGTCGATTTGACGTTTTAAAATATTGCCAGAGCAGAAATTAATATACACTTTGGTTAAGTCGTAGTTTCAGAGGGTTTTTTTGTAATTCCTCAGTTATATTATGTTAATAAAACAAGTCCGAGTAGCATGAACATCGTTCGATGGCTTTAAAACGACTGCCTTCTACAAGCTCCCGTTTTACTTTGCCGCTCACGGCGGCGCGGCGCCGCCGATCAACATAACACGAACATCTCGTTGATAAACTAAGTAGGTATACCCAAACTATGTATGTAGGTAGGTATGCAAGACCATAAGTACCGCACCAATCAACTTGGATTTGCTGTGAATATTTTTACTAATAGTTTATACTAACCTTGAACCAATTTTTTCCTAAAAAGCCCATTGGATAGGTAGGTAGGTAGCCTACCCTTCTTTTTCGAATTGAAAGTTTAGTTAGGTACTTACTATAAATCAAGAACTTACGAACTTAATTGTATAAATCGAAGACTTGTAGGTGTAATTTATTTTCATGTTACATATAGAGCCATGTTATAGCTGAAGTCTTGTAGGGTTCAGTCCGGTAATAAAGACGTGTTAACTTCATAAACCTAATTTAAACGTGACACGACTTTAGACTGAAATAATGAGGGTGGCCCACACTTTTTAAGGTAGGTACGTCAACTTTAGTTTTCTTTGTATTAGTATAATTTAGATTACCGTTCTTAGCTATAATAATGTTTTAAGTACCTAATGTGCATGTTTATACTGTTATCATGCATCATAACGACATAGGTAATGTTCCTCTACATTAGTGGCTAAGAAGCATAATATGACATGGGATATTACAGTTACTTATTTCTATGAGTGATAGTAGGTACTTATGTAGTGCAACTGTGCAAATGTAGGTTAGGTAGTATTAGTAGTAGACCTTTTGGTCGTTGTCGTAATAAGCAACACAGAGCGGCAGTACGTGCGGTTTTGTGTACAAAGAGGTGTCAGAGGTAAAGCCATTCACGCAAATTTCCTATGCAGCTCCACCGCCGCGTTCCATAGGTCAGTACCGTATTATTGTCCGATAGATAAGTACCGAAACTAGGCAATAACTAATTTGGTACTTAGGTACCTTTATTTTGAGTTTTCAGTTTTGAGATTAAGCGTGAACTTCTTAGATGTTCTTCTTATAAGTAGATAGAAGTGGAAATTGGTACCAAAGTTAATTGAAGGTTTATTTGAAAGGCTAAATACCTACCCACTTTGAAGATATGATTGAACTCTCGTCATGGCCGGCCTGCATTAGAGAAGTACCTCTTACTTAATTGAATTAACATACACTTGACATGACACTGTACGTAGCTGTACTTAGGTATTTTCTTGAAAGTATATGGAGGCATATCAATAGGCACTATTCATATAATGAGACTGGATCTGTGACTTACCTAACCAACCGTCGATATCGAAGAAAAATACATGACACATTTGCTTAACTTTCAAAAAACGCCTCAGTGTGTTTATTATCTTAGTTATTCTAATTGCTAAATGATTATAATTCTGGGTTATATTGCTGGTTTAGTCTTAGTTAAGCCTACTGTACCTACCTAAAAAACTTCTAATATGCCCTTGCAATTGCAAAAATAAACAAATATATGGGGACAGGTTTCGACATCTGATTATTCGACTACAACGTTTCTTGTGGATTTATTTATTCGATCATTGTTACTGCCTAAATTAATATTAAAAAGTTTTTGAGTTTTAAAGTCTTTATGGTAGACATATAATAATTTGAAACTACGTGTAATAAATTTTCTCTGGTGATCAGCACGAGGGCTACGGACCAGGTATACAAGGGCGGTCGTGGGGTCACGTTCGGTCACAGCGCGGCGCGACGGGCGAGGATCAATATAGTCCCCCCTACCGACTCACCCCCTCAATACTCTGTACCTACTAGAATGCAATTTGCAACTCATCGCTCAATAGTTTTGTAGTAATAATCTTGTAAAGGTAAGGAACCAATTAAAATGAGGATGGAAGTCTATATAGGAATATGTTATCCACATTTGAACTAATTGATAAATAAAACTAAACTGGAAAGCACTTAATACAAGCACAATGTAAACAAAACCCTCGAACTCATTAATATTCAGTACGGTCGTCGGAGGATATGAAGCTTGAGATGCCCCAGCATGCGAGCAGATCATTCGACAGATCGTTTACAGTACGAGCTGTTCGACTGTGGAATGCTCTGCCACTTTCTGTCAGACAAGCAGAATCACTTGTTAG